TGCTGCATCTCTTTCCCTTTTGGTTTTCTGGCCGAGCAAGTGATGGGACTGGAGCCTGGGGTTTCTCTCCTGGCCAGGGCAAGTATTTTTCAGCTGGTTGAAATTCCCCAGCTCGGCAGCCACGGTGTCTTGGTTTAAGCAGAAGCCTGTGGTCAGCCAGAAATCCTCCAGAGCCAGCAGGCCGGGGTGTGAAAGCAAGCCCCAGCAATTGCCAAGCTCCTGGAACTGGCCCTGCTGGGCAGCCGCTGAGACAGGGTGGCTTTGTAGGAAAGCTGTGGGGCTTTGTGCCAGAGCTGCATCCTGCTGTCCAGCCTGGGGAGCTCTGCCTGGGCCTGGCTTGGCATCTGTCGCCTGTTCTAGGATCTGAGGAACATACAGAGCAGTGAGAAGGCTCTGACCTGCAGACAGCACGTGCGCTGCCCTGTACCTTCTGCCTGCTGCTGTGGTGCATTTCCCCCTTGTTGGCTTCACTGCTGTAGCAGGGGCACCTGGGTGGGAATATGCTTTGGTGGCTTCCACGTGGCGGCTGCTGTCTGCCAGCAGAAGTAGCCTCGTGTAGGCAGAGTCTTAGATAGACACGAGCAGAATCACTTTTACTGGAGGCCTCTGGAGAAGGGCGCTCACAGTGGATTATGGAGACCACTTGCAGCCCTGCCTTTACCAGCTGCCCTATAGTTAAAAAAAAAAAAAAAAAGCCAGCCTGGCCTATGTAATTAATCTCTCCACAGCAAGGGCCAGCATGGATGCAGCTTAGTCCTAATGAAAAGCTCTGCAGTATTAAACCAGCATATGCGCATGACAGATGTCAGTGTTTGTAAGTAAGGAGTGGGAAAAGGGACTATTTTAAATGAAGAGTCTCCTATTTGGGGATTTCCTGATCTTCAAGATTGTAGAAGGTGCCTGTTGCTGCTAAACCTCATTTATGCTTGTTCTCCACCTCCTCAGAACCTAGAGGCTGGTCTCTGCCTCCGGGTTCCCAGAAATGGTCACCCAGAGCACCAGCCTCCTTGCCGGGCCCCTGCTAAAACCCACCGCCGGTTGGTGGCGTCAGTAGTGGAGGTGCCCTGGGTGTGTCAAAGGATGGTCCTGGCCAACCTCACCCATATCAGGGACCTCCTGGACTGTGCCAGGCAGGGGTTGGCAGATTCTGCTGAGCTGGCCATGGAGCTGCCCACTCTGCATGTGCCCTGCCTCCTACTCTAGGATGTCAAGGCCACCCCGCTGCCCTCGCCTACATCAACCAGGTCCTGTGCAAGGGCAGTCCCCACCCCCCAGTGTCCACCAGCCCTCTGGAGCTTGTCATGAGGCCGCTGCCTTGGCAGGCCCCATGGCGCTCCCCACCTCACCGTCTTAGCAGGCTGGGGGGCACCATGCTGGTCCACTTTTGAACCACCCACTGCCATCAGCTCTACACGCTTGTTCTCTGTGCCACCCACCGTTATGTTCTCACGTCCTGCCCAGACAACAAGTGGTGGGAGACCCTAGGTGGGGACCTCCAGTGGACAAGTCTATATTCCACCTTGATCCCATGAGCCACTGGGAACCTCAGCTGGTGGCTCCTCCACGGAGCCATTGCCACAGGCCTGAACCTGGTATGGTTCATGGATGCAACTGACACCTGCCTGTTTTGTGAACAGAGGGAGACCCGGGCACATGCCTACTTGGAGTGCGCCAGGCTGCAGTCCCTGTACTGCCTCGTCCAGAACCCCACGCTGTGTGTTCCCTGCTGCTTACTCCACGAGATAAGAGCTGCCTTGCCGCCCACTGCCCTCATCTATATCAACCAGGTCCTGTACAAGAGCAGTCCCCACCCCTGGTATTCCCCAGCTCTCTAGAGCTAGTCATGGGACTACTGCCTTGGCAGGTCCCACTGCTCCCTGCCCCACCATCTTAGCAGGCTGGGGGATGCCAAGCTGGTCTACCGTTGAACAGCCCACCGCTGCCAGCTTTACAGGCTTGTGCTCTACATAAGCCATCATCCCATCCTCATATCCCGCCCCGACAACAAGTGGTGGGACACCCTACTTGAGGGTGGAGGGGAGGGTCCCCAGTAGGCAAGTCTGTATTCCACCTTGATCCCATGAACCACCAGGGACCTCAGCTGGTGGCTCCTCCACAGAGTCGTCACCACAGGCGTGTATCTGACGCACTCTAGGGACCACCCCTACACCTGCCCCTTTTGCCAACCGAGGAAGACCCTGGCCCATAGCTACCTCGAGTGTGCCAGGTTGCAGCCCCTCTTTTGCCTCCTCCAGAATCTCCTGCTGAGGTTTTGCCTGCACTTCTTCCCGCACCATGTTTTGTTACGCATTCCCCATCCGTGGCCACACCAAGCCCTGGGACCTCCAGCTCACCTGCCAAGCTGGCCATCTACAACAGCAGTTCTCAGCCTTTTGCACCTTACATCCCACCAACTGTTTTGTCAAAAAACCCTGGTCCCACGATGATAAAAACAAACCCCCACAAAATTGCACTGTTCGAGATATCTGTTGATTTATCTATTTGAAGTACAAACAACTGATTTTTTTCAATCCAGCAATGAGTTGAAGTCCCACCTCCATGACTGTTGAGAAACACTGATCTACAAGACCAGAAAGAAGGCTCTGGCTGGGGGGAACCCAGATGAGTGTGGAGCCGTCTTCCTGTCACTCCTCCACTCACGTCACCAGGCAGAGTTTCACTGGTTAACATCCACAGGCTCCCTTGACTTGTTCAGGGGACAGTGTGGTCTACTTGGTGTCCCCTTCTGGATCTCTTGTTATTAACTTATCACTTCGCTTCCATTTCTGATTTCTTTTTAGTTGCCCCAAGAAATCAGTTGATGCGTCCCCTGTGGCCTCCCTTATTAAGGGAGGCTTATAGTTTTTTGTGATGGGCTTAAGCCCATGACCACATCAAATAGGCCTGTGGTATTTTAGATGGCAGGGTAGATTTGTGCTTTATAGACTAGCTAAATCAGAGGTATATAGCATGAGCTTTTGTGAGCCTGAGCTTACTTTATCAGAAGCTGTGAAAGGACATACACAGCATGTTTTCTCCCCCCGGCTCCCTTCTTCCCTCCCCTGTCTTTTGTATCCAGATCACTCTCTTTGATGTGCTGCTCTGTGCATGTCTTTTCACAGCATCTGATGAAGTGATCTTAGGCCCACAAAATCTTATGCTGTACATCTCTGATCTAGTTAGCCTGTAAGGCACAAATCTACCCTGCCTACCACTGCTGATTACCTTTCTCTGCGGTATTTGTGCCAAGGTCTCTTTGAAGCAGCGTTTTCTGCTGGGCCTTGGACTAGCCAATATTTTCGCAACTGGTTTGGATGAGACAATGGCGGGTCTGCGGCTCAACCTTGACAATTGCAGATGATTTGGGGAATGGGATGAGAAGTCGATATGTTCCTAATGAATAGAAGACCTGGACCAGAACTAGTCATAATGAGTAGAGAGAGAGATGAGGAAACAGAGATGTAATTAATTGAACATATACAAAGCAGACAAATACAGCCAGGGCAAGAGCACCTGTGGAAAGGATTTGGGGCTTGTAATTGCTGCTTCGTGTGCCACAGTGTTGAAAGAAGCCAAAGCCCTGTTGAACTACTTCAATAGAAGCACAGCGTGTGGTAGTTTTCTTCTCTGCCTGGTCATGTTTAGGCATCCAATTAGAGACAGCAGTTGTCTGTGGGCACCATATTTCAGTGGTAACAGACCAACAGGAAGTTTAGAGGATAAATGAAAAAAGGCTTGGACAGTAAGCTGTAACAGGAAGAGTTGAGGGAACTGATTTAGATGTTCAGTCTAAAGATGGGACAGCCAAGCTGAGACATAATAGTGCCTTCCCTCTCTGAGAAGGCAGCGTATAAAGAGAGTGTGACCCAATTACACCTATGGGAGGAGGAGGGATGGAGCATTAGCTGCATTAGCTGGCAGCATAGCAGGCAATTCCAGTTAGGTTTTGGAGGGCAGGACTGTTACAGCCTGAGACTTGACATCTGTCTACGAATGTGTGCCTTAAATACTGAAATCCTTCCTGCTGCAGTCATGGATGGGTGGACATGCACACAGACACATGCACGTGGAAGGCCCTTCTTACAGCAGAATATTTATGAACGGTAAAACCTCGCAGTCTCTTTAAGCCACAGGGACTGAAGTCTGAGTTTTCAGAATGAAATACCCAAACACCTCACAGCCACAGCTTTACTAGATAATTGTAATTGTTCATTTGTCAACATCATTACCTACCTAACATGCCTTTATGACAGTTAAATAAACTTTCCATATGGAACTGAATATAGTCTGAAGTAAGGCTGTCTTTCTAAGGCCTGTCCCAAACACATAGTTATGCTGGTTTAGCTAAAGTTGTGTGTATGATGACACACAAATGTGACTTTGCGCCTGGACAGACAGCATGTTTACACCAGTGTATTTTAAGCTACTTTTTGCACACCAGTGTAAATTACAACAGGATCTGAAGTAGAGACATGAGCAGTTCTTCTGGGATATGACAGCGCCTCGCCACTGCGTGGCAAGGGAGAAGTTAACAGATCATTTGCACTGAGCAAATGGCTACACACCCCCCCCCCCCCCCCCCCCCCCCCCATTAAGATGCAGACATAAGATATTTACACTGGTGTAAGTTTGACCCCTCATTTTTCCTGCAGTAGTTCTACATTAGAGTCAAGAAAGTTATTGCATGGAGCTGTTTGTTGCTGTGGAGCTGTCCGTTTTTTTTAAGCAGGGGGAAAGGTTGATCACATCGAGGTAAAGATGTGTCCAAACCCTTTGTGGATATCGCTGCATCTGCTTAAACCTGGCAAGCAGTGGTTCTGCTTACAAAAGTAAGCTAAATTAATCTGGGTCTGTTTTAAATTGATGCAAGCATGTCCACATCATGCTTGTTGTTAAACTCCTGCAACTTCTGTTTGTGGACAAGCTCCGAACCTTCAGGCAGAGGGCACTGGAGACAGGACCAGCCCTCAGACCTAGCCCGAACCCTGACAGCAGAGAGAGGGTAGCAAGACTCTTCCCTGAACCCCAGCCATCAAGTGAAGTTTAGTTTCGTGAGGATGCCCCAGAACCTTGTGGGTGGTGCGTCTCTTCTGCTTTAGGGAAGATGATGAGCAGCCATGGTAGATGCTAGAGCTGTTTACGTGAAGGAGGAAGGACTCCAGGAATAGAAGGTAGATGAATGGCTGAAGCTCTTGCTTCCCTTACAGCAGTAACAGGGCTAGGAAAAATAGGATATAGTTGATTGTTGAAATAATTACAGGAGTCTTCAGAGTAGAAGTGAGAGAGAGTTACTAGCCAAAAGCTGATAGGAAAGATGTTAGTCATGGCTCAAGTCCTAGACCCTAGTAGCGATCCCAGCACTTCCCTCCCCCACATTTTACTTGCTTCCAAGCATCTGGAGTTGGTGGTGAGGTACTGTTGTACTAAATTTAGTTAAGGGTTGAGGTGAATGGAAATGAATCCATTGGTGAGACTATTCCAGTCTCAAATCCTGTATTATTGAACATGTAAGCAATACCAATGTTTAAGCAGGGCTTTAAATAAAACGCTCAACTTCTAAGCAAGTCCTAACAGTCAACAAAGATATTCCTACGCAAGCCTTCTGGTGGGTATAGTGAGTTCAGCTGGCCAGGCATCCATCACCACACCGGGGTTCAGTAGTTGTTTCTTTTCCTGGGTTTTGCTCTTTCCCAATTTAAGGGTTTTTTTTTTTCCCTAGGTTTTTATACACTTTTTTTACAGTTCTCTTCTGTATGTACCAGATACGGTTATGTCATAAATATCCACCAATCGTCTTTTACAATGGTCATTTTTCTGTCAGGCTGCTGTCTGTATCTTGCTGTCTTGAACTGCTAAACCAGATCTTCTAACTTTTTGCTCATGTGAGTTATAAAAAGGTCAGCCTAAACTGTGACCCACTGGCTTTTGTATTAGTATCATTAGTTGTGTCAAGGCACAAAATCGCATAGGCATTTTGCTAAGGCAGCTTTCAGGCCTACAATACTAGGATCTTCCTGGTGGACTGCCTGCCATGCTCTTGCATTGGCCTGCACCTAGTAACTTGCTTAGGCCTTTGGCTAGTAGGTGGCTGGTCGATCTTTCCAGGTCTGCTGAACTTATCGATAGCATAGGAAATGTTTTGCTGACATACAAAACTATTGTAAGAGCACAACAAGTTGTGAAGCAGTCTACTCAGTCCAAGAATTCAGCTTCTGAATCTCAGTACATCTATTCTGTGCTGGGTTGAGAGTCCAACTGAAGCAATGGACATGGAAACTACTGACTTGGAAATGGAGAGAACAGCTTCAGACCTGCCAGCAGGTGACAAGGGGCTGCCCCAAGGAGGCTTTTTTTTTTTTTTGCCCCTGACTCTTATTTGGCTTTGATCTCTTTTATGAGGTTCAGGAGACGAAAACCTCATTACCAAACACTGTTGGATGTCGACGTGTGTGTGATATGGCTGTTTTCCAGCATCTTAATTGGGAATTCATGAAGGCAGAGGGCGGATGCCAGTTCTTGAAAAGTGCTTTTAGCCTTTCTGCTGGGAAGAAGGCTTTTATTAATTCATTACAAAATGTATTAAAAAGGATCCAGCTCAACTCCGTAAGAAGGGCTGTCATTCACCCTTTCTGCCTGCATGTGAGAGGCTCTGGGCTTCCCGCCCAAGACTGCCTGAGCAAATGAGATTTGTAATAAACATACAAGTCAGTTTGGATTAAAATTCATCCCCAGCCTCCATATTCTAGGAGGCCTCCAGATCGCACAAAAGCAAAGCCAGGATTCAGCAAAAATGGCTCTGTGCCTGGCGGTGCATCTTGTAGCAAGGGATGCATCTGGTATCCGAACACTGACATGTACAGACCTGCTGGGCTCCCACCGCCTCCTCCCCAAGCACAGCTGGCAGTCAGGTAGCAAGACAGCGACCTGAGGAGGGACAGCAGCATCCGTGCCAATGGCTCGCACAGTGCTGGATGTTAAACTCCTGCTTCAATTCTTGTTTTAAAGTGAGGTTGGCACTAACTGACAGTGTCTCCTTGAATGAAATCCTCTAACTGCCTGCTAAGACGAGCAGTGCTAAGACTACTGTAGAGGGAAAGCTTTCCATGTTCTACACCTCATCCCTTTTCTGGAGGGAGATGCTCCACCTCCTTGCCCCAATCCCTGCCCTAGACACCAAGGGTGAAGGAGGAAATTGTCTCTACAACCCCTTCGCTAGGCCGCCTGCCATTCAGGGCCTGGCCATTTTGAGCTGTGATGGGGGGTCTCGGTGGTTCTTCACAAGGAGCCTGAGCTGCTACCCTCCTGTTTCGCACAGGCCTCTGATAGATCAGGGCTGCACCTCGCCAGCCTTCCCATGCTTCGGTTAACAAGAACAAATGCTTTCCACCCACAGTTAGTTCAAATGCACGTGTGCTCCTAGGAGAGCTACCCCTGGGATTTTGCAGAAGCTTTACAGGTTCTCTCGTTCTGTGGTTTCAGCTTCTATGGCACCCCTGGGAGATTCCCCAGCAAGAAGCCATCCTCCATCAGGTTGCTCTGATTCTTCCCCTGCTGTTCTGTTTTCCTTTAATTCTGTATCTAGGGAAGGGGCTGGTTGGACAGTTTAGCCAGTGAGAAATACACACGCAGTCACGATATGTCTGAACTGCTGCTCTGGCACTCTGAGGGCAGCACCACTCTGAAGTCTGCCTACCTGCTACGATACCGATCCAGAAATGCTTTTGTGGGCAGGCCGTCAAGCATGCAAGAAGCAAAGATCTCAAAGGCATTGGCAGCAGGGCACCCCCAAAGCAGCTTTGCTGCCTCATTCCAGGTGTGGCACATGCAAGCAGCAGCAGGTGAGTAGGATGTGCTAAAAAGCAGCACTCCCCAGGAGCACCAGGGAAGCAAAGTAGACCATACCCACAGGGCCTTGGCTCCCAGATCTGAACTCTCCAGCAAAGGCAGTGGTCCTGCTGTATCAGGATAGTGCCAGTGGAGCCTTCTCTGAACTATACTCTGCCCTTCCCCAGAGCCTTTCATCTGAGGATCTCAAGCACTTCATCAACCATTAGTCCCGGTGAAGTTGGTAGTGTTCCCCCAGTTGACAGGTGGGGAAACCGAGGCACGTATGCCAGCTGCCACTGTGGTGAGGTAGTAAGTCATTAGTAGTGACAGGACAGAACCCAGAAATACTGAGTCCAGTCCCCTCTTAACACAGCCCACGATTTGGGGAAAAGGAGGATTTCAAAGGAAGAGATTTGGGTCTTACCGTAATGATCTCCTTTCCCTGTGTGTCTGCTACAGATTTTTTCCCCCTTCCTTTGCCTCAAGATCAGCAGAGCCATTTGTGTGGCTCTGAACAGTGAATTTCTGCCCCTTCTTGAGCAGTAGGAGCGTACCTTTGTTTTAGACCACTGGCACTCAACTTATCTGACCCCATGGGCAGGATGAGTGGGGCTGGGTCAGTCTGCAAGCCAGATCCCATGCAGAGGGTCAGTCTGAAGGCCTGATTTAAGCCAGGGGCAGCACACAGTCAGTCCATGCGTATGACTTTGCACGCTGGCCCAGCCCCACATGCAAGATCCTGCTGTGGACTGACACCACATAGCCGGTGCCGTCTGGCATGCACAGCCATGTCATCTGGCCCACTGGGCTCCTTGTAGCTCTGGAAGTTTGGCAGTGGGGGAGCAGTGGGAACATTAATTGCTGCAGGTCTGGGAGGGGCACCTGTAGTGCACGGGTTGAGTACCACTATTTTAGACTAAGTGAAATTAAAACAGATGGAATTACTACCCAGCTCTGCAGTTTCTTTGGAGATGCCTGCCAGGAGTTTAACCCATATTAGCTCAGCAGCCACATGTCTGCTGCTCACTTGGAACCTATAGTCCTGTAAAAGACAGAAGTGTATGCCCTGCTGCAGTGAGAGCCACCTCTGCTCCATCATCTCCCTCCCGTTGCTCTCTGCTGAGCCACTTGCCTGAATCCCCTCTTGCCCCTATTGCTATATGCATAGTCAGCTCAGCTGCCCTTCCCTTGACAGCCCCTGCCATAGCCTATGTGTGCTTTCCCAGAGTAGAGTGTGTGAGAGTTGTTAATTAGCCCAGGATTGAGCTGTAACTGGCTAATCAGGGATCAGAGTTATTGATTTTCCTGTGTAATTATTGGTGGCAGTGTTCTTCCTTTGCACTTCCAGTGTGGCTGGGCACCAGTCCTTTTGGCCTCTACAATCCAAGGCAGCTGCATTTAATTCCACCAGGTTATTTGATGCAACCTCCCAGGTTCTGAAGCATCTCACCAGGCCAACAGGGCAGGCCTAGTCCTTCTAGCAGCTTGCTGGGCCTCAGCCCTGCTTCTACAGCCTGTGGACTGCATGGGGCTGTGGCTGCAGCAGAGCTAGCGATGATTTTCAAACTTATTAACAACAGGTTCTTTGTTCCCTGATGTTTCCCCAATTGGATTGCAAACCTATAAGGCAGAGCTTTCCCTCAGGATGCATAAAATCTTGGCCACCGGGCTTGGAAGAGGCAGGATTCCCTGCAGAATTGTTCTGCTTTGGCATGCTTCCTTCCCAACTGAGTCCTCCCCAAGCTCAAACATATCAATCACTCATGGGTGCTTATCCAGCCAGGTTTTGCTTTATTAGGTTTTTTTCCTTCCCACCCTATAATGAATGCAGCTTCTTGGAACATAAATGAGCTCTCCAAATAGCCAGTTATTTTAGTTAGCTGCAATAGCTTCCTGCTGCGCCGGGACTGGCGCCAAGTGTTCAGGGCAAGATGCAGATAGTGCTCAGCAGGACAGAGGCAGTGCTGATTACTGTCCTGGCTGTACTCTACCAAACACCAGTAGAGTGTGTGCTGAGCCTGCTTTCTGTGTGCAGAGCTCAGCATCCTTTTGATTTAACCTGTGGGTGGGAGCTGCACCTTTGACCTCCTGGAGTCCCTTTCAACCCTGTTTTCCTATGATTAACAAGAAGTATTGTCCATCTGCTTTCCAGGGACTGCCAGCACCAGCTGAGGACATTTGGAGTCATTGGTCTGGGGTTTTGGCACAAAGACTGTCTGGGATTGAGGTTTCACTGACTTGTGAGGGTGACTGATACCCATTTGCTGTGGTTTGTCCCATGTCCCTCATGCATTCTGCTTGGGCTAGGGGCTATGAGAAAAAAAAAAAGCAGTAAGAACAGCAGGCAACCCTGTGGCTTGTTTGATTTGGGAGGTAAGAGAGACAGCAGATGGGCTGTCACCCCTTCTTCTGAGTCAGGAAGGGTGGAGCTGCTGGCCTGTGGAGAGAAGTCTGAGGCTGCTGCTGATTGTGGCTGCTGCTGTGTCTTCTAGATTGATGGCTTGGAGAAGAAGCTGGCCTTGTGCAGACAGAACATGGAGGAGGTGGACTTTAAACTGCACAGAGAGGAGCTGAGTCCTGAAAAAAGGTACTGGTGATCCCTTCCCCTTCAGAGACCAGACAGTATTCTTGCCAGCTGCTGTGCACTTGTTCAATCCACTGCTTATGGGTATAACACAATAGGGCCACTGCTGCAATGCTTGCCATGTCGGGGTCCCCAATTTAGAGCTTGCTTCAGGCAGCCCTGTTTTTACCTTGTCAAAGGAAGGTGTGATGTGTTGAGAAAACTAAGATTGCTTTCACCCGCTGACCCTCTTTTCTGAAGGCTTGTAGAAGCCTTCCTGTTCATTTTCAGAGCTCAGACCCCTTTGCTGCTAGGAAAGAGGCCAGGGAGCTGAATGGAGGTTTGAATAGTAGCAGGCAGCTTGGCTACACCATCTGAGTTCTGTCTGAATAGGCCTACAGGGATTTGGGAATAGTCATAGCCAGTGTCTGCCCCAGGTGGTGGAAGCCCAGTCAGAATAATCCCAAGGGGATATGGGGAGCAAATTTTGATTCCATTCACAGTAAAAGCACAGGTGCGTGCGGGAACCTGCTTACAGCAGCAATTCACACGGGTGTTTAGAAGAACCTAACTGTATCTCTGAACCTGCCTAATGTGGTTAGATTGCTTCTCCGCTGCCAAGTGGAACCTTGTGACTGGGTCCTGTAGCACTTCCAGAGGTGCTAGAGCAACTGGGGTCTTGCAGCCTTGACGGGACACATTTCCATTTCCGTATTACTATCCTATTGCTCCCCTCCTAGCCCAGAACTGAAATCTACATTTTATACGCAGGAAGATAGGAGCCATTTACATCCTATATGGCCGCTGTTCCTTACAGTTTGCTCTGACTTTCGATTCCAATGCTGTGTCTACAGTGTTTCCCTTCCAAGACATGCCCACTTGCTTCAGCTCCACTTGAGCCCATGCATGGCAGTTAGGTGGTGTAGATAGTTCAGAGGGGTTCTGGATGCACGCATGCTTCTATGCCACTTTCAGACTATCTGTGTGAGATTTGGAGCAGGGGCTTGTGTCTTAGCAGTGGTTCTGGGCTTGGCAGGAGGCCTGACTGTCCCCAAGAATGATGCTCTTATTTTCTTTGACATGCTCTTTCTCAATTTCCCACCATTACTCCTAGTTATACGCAGAGCCACCATGCTCCATTTCTCTCCTTTGCTGGGGTTTACATTCATTAATACTTGTTGAAAGTTCTGCCTCTTTTCTTCTCCCCTCCCTTAATCTCATCTCACTAAATGCTTTGTCCTGAGTTCATCTGCTTTTCCTATAAGTCATATCACCAGGCCCATCTCCCTCCCCCCCAAACCTAGCAGCAACCCTATGGACATCTCTCCTGCCCTCAAATTCATTGCGTAACCATTTAACATTACCCTGAGCACAGGCTTTCTGCCAGTTCCCAAGCTGTGAGATAATGATAAGGTTCCTATCCAGGAGCTTTAGAACAGATTTCTCAGGGAAGGTGCCCAGTTCTGTGATATCCCCTCACCAGGCCATTCGACCAAGAGAGCAATCAAATTCTGCCACTTGTGCTTCAACTAATCTCACAAGGGCTCAGTAATCGTTAAATATTTCTCCACTGTTATAGCTCTTAATCTGGCGAGTCTAAATCACTAAGGTAGTTCTGTTTCCCCAGCCTCGTATTCAGGATTGTGTTTTCTTCCTTCATGCCTCTCACTAACAAGTCTTCCCATAGATTCATAGTAAGCTCAGTGGCTCATTCCCTGGGCTGTGTCATTCAGTCCTACAGAGGCTCAGACTTGCCCAGCTATTGATGAGGTCTCTATTCCTTCCTATTGGCCCCTTTTCCTTTGATTTCTCAAGCGAGGTGGGTTTGTTAAGTAGTTGTACAGCAACACTCTGGGCTCAGTCCTGCCAGTCTTTCTCCCCATTTCCTAATGGGGCTGAACTCTTATTTTTCCCTTTTTGCTGCACATATTTCTAAGATCCTTTCCATTCCCTCTCCCGCTATTAATGTAGCCTGCCTTGTGGCTGCCCTTCTCTCCTCACTTAACTAACTGTACAGTCAGGCTTGGATCCATTTCCATTAAAAGTTCCTGCTTTAGCCTCGAGGGGAACAACGAGCCCTATTACACTTGCCGCTTTCCCAATAATACCACAGAACCTGCTCAGAGCAGGGAGATAATTTGTTGGTGCATGTTTATTTATATTCGCACTGTCTGAAAGGAGCTGCGGTGATGTCCTCGCTGTAATGGAACCGCTGCTGCTTGCAGGCAATTTGTTTTGCTTTTATCCTTTAAACCGTGGATTAATTAATCATTTTGTGCAACTAAAGATACATGGGGGTTTTTGTTATTATATCATCCACAGTCCTAATAGCTTAGAACGCGGCAGTCATGTAGCTGGTTCCTACTGGTGTCACACTTCAGATTCTTTCCATGAACCAGCTAGGGAATTTGTGCAAACCCAGTATCTGTGGAAAAGGGAGGGAGGAAGGACAGTTTCCTTGATCTTTGTCTCTGGAACAGGGGAGGGAACTGCTCTGGTGGTAAGGGCAAGGGGGCTGGCAGGGAGGACTCTTGGGGTCTAGTCCAGGCTGCAGATGACTTGTTTGGTGACTGGTAAAAATTCCCTTCCCTTGCCCACACCAAGGTTTCCCCTTTTGTAAAATGGGAAACATTACCTTCTACCCAGGGAGGCTGTGGAGTTATTGAGGAGACCCAGAAACAAAAAAAGCAAAAGATTTTGTTTATCCACCACTGTCAGTCACAAATTAGCCCCATTCACAGGGACATGCTCCCCTCACCCCTTCCCCAGCATGGCCTGTACAGCCCAGTCAGTGGGCATTTACTGGATCAGAAAAGCACACATCCTCCATCACAAAGCCAGACAAACTGAGCCCATAAGATCTTGGAAGCAGTATCTGTGGGTCCTGCCTGTTATTAGACCCATCATCTGAATCCCAAGGGAGCAGCTAGACCACTGCATAAATGAGTTTGGGCTGATCCTGGCCAGGGCTTGCTTTTTAGCTGGGGTTGGAGTATCGTGTTAGCGTTCAAACAGGCTACCCTAAAGTAGGGAAGTCATTCATACACAGCAGGGTCTAGAGAGGAGAAACACCTAGCTACCAAGTCTCTCCTCTTGGTAGATGTTAAGCTTCCTTCCCCACCCCACCCCACCCCACCCCCTGCCCCAGAGACAAGGCAGGACATTCTCATTCTCAGTATCATACATAACTCTTCTGTTGGGGCAGCCTTTCCTCCAATGTATAAGCTAGTGTAAGGAAATAATGTGTACTGTACCTGTGCATAACAGACTTCTTTTGTTACAGGAAGTCACTGGAGAGGGAGAAAACTTTGCTAATGACCAAAGCTGAAAGCTATGGTAAGAACTTCATTAAAAATAGACACCCTGGGCTGCTGCTTGGCTTCCAATTTAAACTCTTTCTTTTCTCAGTCTCTCTCCTACTTTGCCTTTAAGCTTGGGCTCAGCCAAAAAAGCAACGCCTGTGAGGGGAGATAGATTTTTCTCAATGTAGCGGGGTTTTGGCGAGATGCTGTGCTTTTTCTCTCCTAGGTTTTCCAAAGCAAAGCGCCTTCCACTTCAGCCAAAGGCATCTTGTAGAACATGCAGGTGGACATGCAATATCCCTAGTTGCTTTGGAAAACCTTGGCCAACAAATTAGACTAGCTGGATTTGAACCCTCCTCCTGAGGGAAGAGTTGCTGCCTGAGTTTGAAAACCAAAATTCTTACAGATGCATAGCAGAGAACCCGGGAGATTTCTCCACTTGTGTTAGCGCCTCCTACAACTCCCGCAGCACAAGCTGTAGCGTGTACCCTGTAGCTGTAGTGCAGCGTGGCCTCTGGGTTTGCATGGAAACAATACAAGCAGGTCTAGAGGTGAGGTTGAATGATTTCCCCTCCTTTGTCTCACTGGAGGCAGTTAACAGGCAGAGCCCGTGCTGGATGTTTAGTTTTAACTCCTCTATTAACAATGGGCATGCTGCCTCCTCCAGCCAACCCCCCCACCATGGGCTGAAGCAAACGTATAATGGCCCAACTCTAAATCCCTCTAGACCTGGAGAGTTATGGTTGCTCAGAGACCTCTTCCCACACCCTGTGGGATGTACATTTGTCCGGGCTTCCGCATTTTTTATTCTCAGTCTCCAGGCAGGAAGCCTTTCTACCATTCCTCCTCTCCTGGGGCTCAGTGCTCAGGAGCAGTGACATTAGACTGCCCCCTGCTGGCCCAACACAGTGTTATGCAGCCACATTGAGTTTATGTCTCCACTGGGCTGAGGCCTGCTCCTGAAGGGACCAGGTGCCCTCCACATCCCTGGGTATGAGTGGGAGGCGAGGGTGCTCATTCCCTCCGTCTGAGGCACAGAGGGTCCGGGGCTTAGTATAAGCAGAGTGGAGTTGCAAGGGCACCACCAGCCCCTCTCTGTAGATGTTTTCCTCCGTGGGTCTGTCCTTTGGGCAGACCTAAACCCAAGAACGAGCAAAACAGGACCATTGTATAGATGAATGAGTAGGGCTGGGTACTGCTCTGCCAGAGAGAGGGAGCTCCCTTGCCAAATCCCTTCAGGGAAACAGCAGCACAACCCCCAGAAGTTCAAATGGGGCCAGGCCCTGCGAAATACAACACACAGTTGCCTGCGTCCATTCAGGTCTTGCTACTGTGGAGCCTTTCAGTGTTACCTCAGTCTGAGGAACAAGTCTTGTAGGACAGGTTACTGCACAGCAGAAGCCAGGGTTCACAGTCTGGTCTAGGAGTAAGGATGCCAGGATCAGCATTAGACCCAGGCAGCAGTCTATTGCAGGGGCGGCCAGGCTGCAGCGTGGGTGCCACAAGTAGCATGGCCAGGCTTTGTGTGTGGCATGCAACAGGTTGGGGAGTGGGCAGGGAGCAGAAAGCAGAGCAGATTGGGCAGGGAGCACCAGGCATGAAGAAGGAATCAAAACAGCAGGTCAGGCAGGGAGCACAGGGCTGAGAGCAGGAAGTAGAGAAGGAGACTGGGCAGGGGAAGGGGAGCAGAGTGGCACTTGGGAAAGGCGAGAGGGTAATATGTGGCACGCCTGTCAAAAAGGTTGGCCCCTACTAGACTACTGCACTCTTCCAGCTGCCTGGGTTGTGCTGCCACCTGCTGGGGAGTTGCAGCACCAAGCAGCTCATTCTAGATAGGAGTTTGTCCTTAGGGTCAGGCATGCCTGATAGCTCAGGAGACGCAGGTGGCTTCCGGAGAGAGACAGCACACACTGCTGACTGAAGCACCCAATAGCAGCACTTGCCAAGTTGGGAATTGGCCCAGAGCTGGAGCTCAACTCTCGTTTTAAAAGTGGGTTTTGGTGAGGGCACCTCTTGGTAAAGCACATGCATGCTGACCTCTCCTTAGGGGCCGGTAGAACAGGCAACCAGGCTGCTGTTGCTCTAGCTGAAGTCAGACTCCTCTGGCAGCACCGGCAGAGCACTGCACTCAAACAACAGCAAGCAATGCGGACCCTGTTAGCCAGCAAGTGGCCCTGAAAGCTCAGCCTACCCTTGCAGTAACCATGCAGTTCTCCCTGGAGACACTAGATTGCCATAGGGCAGCTGTGACAGCTGCTGGCCAGCCTGGCATATCCAATCTAGATAGCTTGCTGCTGTTTCACTCAATAGCACAGGAAGATCGTTCTGCCCAGCGTAGGATTTTGATCTTGTGTAAAGCAGAGGACTGGTATGGATTTGTTGCCTGCTCTTGGCAGCCCCTGAACTTCTCTGCACCTCAGCTTTTCCCACTGTAAAATGGAATTACCAGCACTGACCTGCCTTTACAAAATGCTTGGAGATGAGTGGAATGGTTATTCATCTAACTGCGCCCATTGTTTTTGACAAGTATGCTGGGCTCAGAACTGTCCTCCATTCACCTTCCAGGGACTAGCCCCCTGGGATCAGGAAGGGATCGATGTGCACATCTGAGGGGATGCTGCGAGGATCACAGAAGTCTTTGAGCAGTGCCAAGGGTAGAGGCAATGGCTTGCATAGGTGACAGCCAAATACATTCATCATTCCCAGAACAGGAAGTGCTAGTGCTCCTGACTGCCCAAGGCTACAAAAGCTTGAAGCACAAGTTGTGTCCTGATTCAGACATTCACTGAGACACAATAGGAAGCTCAGCCAGGGAGGGATACATGCTTGGAGTCTGTGACGCACAGAGGAGACTGGAAGCTTATTTCTTATAGTGGTTCATGAAAGATGCCAGATTTGAGAGCTTGGGAGGCCTGTTCAGAAAAGGTACAGGAAGGTAGGGCCAGCTCTCATTTCACCTTCACACAGGAACCATCTCCAGGGGAGGAGGAATCCTGTTGTGATGGCCCTTTCAGGCCACGGACTCCAACAAAGGGGAAAATGGGTCCTATAATAAGACCACCACTTACCCACTACCAACTGGATTGAAAGCCAGCAGCTGTTAGCTAGTAACTTTCAGATATTACTAAACAGGCCAGGATGCAATTTGGGAAGTGGAAAGGGCTCTTTCAAGCCTCTTACCTGCCCAGTCCCTCTCAAGAGAGGCAGTTGGAGACAGTGTCAGCTCTGCCTGTACAAAGAAAACCAGAGCCAGGTCTCCAGTAGGTAGCCGCACCAGGATGGCAGCTGACAACTGCAGAGGAATTACCCCATGCTAACGTGGGTGGTAATCCTGCCTGAGGCAGCAGGCACTGGGGGTGCTGCAGTACAGGAGGGAAGTGGCCTCTCACACACCAAGTGTGTTGTCTTTTGCAGAGAAAGAACTGAGAATTCTGCGTAAGGAAAACCGCAAGAATGCGGCCCTTGCCATGGCCCTGATGCTGCTCATCACTGTTATTTATGTCTGCTGGACCATGTGATTGTGTTGAAGAACTTGCAGCACTGGCTGCTGCAAATATCTCTCCCTCCTCTCACCAAAGTGCCTTCCTGCGAGTGTAATCAGGTGTTCCAACTGCTGCTCCTCTATTGTTATCTGCAGGCTCCCTGGCCTGGGCATTCTTGTGCTCAACAGCAGAGGGTCTTGGAGGAGAGGAGACGCGGACACCACTAGCCAAAACGCAGATGAAGCCATCTCATCCAGTATAAAGTGACCAGTCCTATTGGGGAAGCCACAGTCTTTTAGCAGAGCAAATGCACATCCATTTAAGGGGGAGGAAAGGCCTATTTTCTCCTTTCAGGGCAGGGCCCTCCCTCCCTGCACCTTGGCTGCTTTTTGAAAAGTCCTAGAGCCTGAAATCCTCTCTGCTCAGCCTGCCAAGAACTGGGGTGAGCTTCCCTACTACTGTACCTCTGCCACAAGGGGCCAATCACTGAAGCTCAGACATTAGTCCCTTTGCCAAGGTTGCTAGAAGCCCCGAGCATGGGTAGTAATTTTAAAACATGTTCCTACCAACACTAATGGGGCCAGGAGTCAGTCTGACAAAGGCAGGTCTATGGACTGGGCTGACTCCCTGCAGCTCAAATAAATGAATTAAGAGTAAGAGATACAAACAGTTGCTGATCCCTGAACCTCAGGACTCTTTGGGGGGGCAGGGGAAGGGTTTGAGAGGTCTGTACCTATGCACATCCCAGAGACAAGTCTCTGACACTGCACATGATGGTTTAAAGGCAAGCGCCTGCTGAGCTCACAGGAATGCAAATTACTCTGTAATATTTTAAAATAAACTTTGAAGTAAAGTTTAAATTATGTTTTGTGTGACCACATGAAGGAGCAAATGCATTTAGCTTCTGCCTCTCCTGCTCTTCCTTCAGAGGGAAGAGTTGTGGAACAAGAGCATAGCACTGAATCAAAACTACTCTCCTTTAATGGTACTAGTAGCCTGGGGCAAGTCAAAACCTTTCCAAGTTCACTTTCTTCCTGGTCAGGAAAGCCACAAATCAGATAGGGTGAGCGCCTTTGTGAACTGAAGGGCTGTACTGGTAATACTGAGACAACTAAAGCAGAGAAATCAACACAGTGATATAGAGCCTGATACAATGTGCAATTAACACACATTCTCTTCAATGAGGCACTTGTCCTTGTGCCCTGGAGCCGGTGGGAGAGGATAGCTCAGACCACTTTCACCAAAGCCAAAGTTTCTACTAGCCCCTTTGATGCTGAGACATTTGTATGAGATGAAGCCCCTCTCTTACCCATACTAGGGCTGAGCTGCTGTAACACACCAATAATGGGCATGCAGAAGTCTGATCCATCAGAAGTCCTGGCTTTTGAACAGAACAGTTCCTTCAAGGCATTTTGAAGCATAACCCTGACCTCCCAGGCTAAGGATGAGGAATAGGAATGGGAGTGTCTGGACTTGGAGATGACAAGTGATATAACACCTTTCCCCAACAGCACTCCTTCCATGTTTGCCCTATAGAAATGTGCTGACCTGCCCTCCCACAAGGGGCTGGGAGCTGTTTCAGTGCATCCAAAAAAAAAAAACGAAATTAAAAAAAAAAAAAACAGGCAATAAAATCAGAAGGAGGCTGGGGCACAAGGGAAATCAGGAAGCATCTGTAAAAGCAGCCTGCAGGCAAGTGCATTTCCTTCATTGCTTTACTTACACTGGAGATCTGCACTGTACACAGTGTACTGCCGTGATACACTCCATACCCACCCATGCAGGAAGGCCAAGGCCCTGTGTGGGGGAGCCAGGCCCCTGAGTGTGCAGAAGACACGTGTATTGCAATGAAACACCATGGGAAAGGGAATGGCTTCTGACAAACTGGCCTGCTGGCATTATGTCAACCTCAGGGCATTTGTCAGAAGCACCAAACAACAAATGAAGAGTTTAAAAAGCCAGAAGCACAAAGGCTGTAAAAAGTGACACAGCTTGAGGTGCTATGTCTCCCACCTGCAGTCTCTTTGCTGTGTACTGTGGAAACACCTTCATTAAAACTAAAATGACCAGTAACGTAAATGCTGGGTCAAGAATTGGAGCCCTGTTACTGTGTCCCACAATATACCAAGGCTAAGCTCTGCCACATCAGGGTACTATGTGGCCCCATGTATGCTTTGGAAGATGTATCCATGATCTGGGCTTGCTGGTGGCCAAAGAGGAAGAGTGTAGTTGGCTTTCATGGAAAGGCCACCCCATCCCCAACCCACCGTGCTCCCCTGAAGCTTGGAAGGGAGGCAACATCTGCCTGTGTGAGGGCAGAAGGTTTCTCTGCAGGAAGCACCCAAGAATAACATGGGCTCTGACCATTTCTAAGGCTGACTGACACTTCAGCTTTCTCCAGTCTCTGTGCCCTGATGGCCAAAGGTCAGCATTAACCCCAGGCTGAGAGAGCTGTGTAGAGTCACCAGTCTACAGCAAGCAAGTCTGAACACAGATCAATGTTACAAAGTAAGAGCAATAAAGCCAGCAGTGATTAAACTCAAGTACAAGCAATGAGGGGATGACCAAATGGATGCCTGAATACAAACCAATTGTATAGATACAGGAAGGGCTGCAAGCTTGGATATTAAACTGATTTACTTAGGCTCTGTTTAGACAATGCTGCAGAGATACCCGAGACCAGAAGAAGTACAGCTAGGTTAACCACACGGGCAAATCAGCCATGCAAGTACTGCTTCTGGTACATGAACTAACACTTTCAGCGCCTACCTGGGTATCTGTACATGGCACTGCATGGTGCTGTACAGGCACACCCTTGGGGTGAAATCCCCTCTGTACAGAAACAACAGCACAAGGTCTGTTCATTACTTATGCTGATGGCATGAGGGACTTCATGCTTAAGCCTCTTCCTGACCTCTCTGCCTGGCGTGAATTTCCCCCACAAGCTCATGTGTGTGCTTGACCTAGTCTTCATCCAAATCTTTCACTGGCAAGAGGAGAGAAGGGGCTGGAGGGGGAAGAGGACAGGAGGTCAGAATCTAAATGGTTGCTTGGTTGCTTCTAGCTCCTAGGAGACCCACAGCATTCTGTAAGGCACAGTTGAGGCAATCCTAGTCCAATCTGTTAAAAATAATAATAATAAAAAAAAATACAGTGACTTTGCCACATGGCTGGTGCAGCCAGCTTGTGTGGAGGCTTCTGTCCTCTGTGGAACACCTGGCCAAAGGTGGTGCAGAAGCCCAAAGTTAAAACATGCAACACAGGTCAGCCCTGCTCTTTGCGACAGCATGGCCTACATGACATTTGGGAGCCCAGCCCAGAAACAGACTGCTGTTTCTGCTCACTCAAACATGCGTGATCCTGTCTTGTCATCTGAGAGTTGTGGTTTTGTGCATTCATTCCAGATGGGACCCCAGGTCTGCACCAGACATTGGAGTTCTGAAAGCTTATCTGGAGGTTTAAAAAAGAAAAGCTCTGGTTTTCCCT